GAAGAGCAGGTAAAATCCCCACCCTGCGTAAAAGCACCGTGTAAAAATTCTTAGGGCTGGTATGTGAGATTCGAACGAAATTTTTCTCACGGCCAACAACGCGAGAGATAATTTAAACCGAGGGATGGACAAGATTTTTCTTCTCCCCCGCATTTATTTATGTGACATCTCAGCACGCGCATAACGCGTAACGAATTTTCACTCTAGAGAAACGTATTAATCAGCGAAGCCGATGCCCTTTGATATTTATTTATGGGCATCATTTCCTTTAGCGGCTTTCGAAAAATTCCGAACATTCCTTTTGGATCAAGTTAACTTATCCTTTTTTTATCCGCTTTTAGTGTCTCGGATCGTAATCTGAATTTCGAAACTGTCGTCTGAAAGGGCCTGATCCCATCCTGTCTGCTATCTCTTCCCTTTTTATCATTTCAACGGCTATCGGCCAGCAACAATCAGAGCACTTTACGTTTCGAGTTTCGAAAAGTGAAACTCTAGCAAACAATTTTTATTTTTGGGGGGAAGGGACTCGTGCGTTGCCTAATCGATATCCGCTGATTTCTAAGGTTGGAATTTCCAAGGGAAGAAAAACATGCCTCTTATGGTTTTTGAAAGAGAGAAATCTTTTTCGCTAAGTGCTTTTCGGAGGGCGAGCCATATATGGTCGGTGTCGTTTCGAAATTTTATCTTGAATTTATCGTCGTGCCAGACAGGATTGGTTTTCTCCCGATCTCCCCCTCTTAGAAATATTTTAAACTCACTTCTATTTTATTTATTCTGCTCATTTAACATTTTAAAACTCACAATTTTCACATTTCCACGCTCTTCACTCAAATTACTTTTATTGTCAAATTCTCCCATCCTATTATATAACTTTCAAACTGATTTTTTCGTTAAATTTTTAAACATTTTAAAATTCCATCTCGCGCAAGATTGAATCTAGAAAAATCTAGATTTTCCCATTAACTGCGCACGCATTTCTCCGAAACGCCGTGAAACAAAGCTATATAAACGAAACCGATTCTACGAGCTCGAATTCATTACCGTCTCGTCGTTCGAAGCATTGACTTCGCGAACGAAAAGTGTAGTTCTCACCCGGTGCTACTGCTTCTGCTTCTGCTTCTGCTGCTGCTGCTGCTGCTGCTGCTGCTGTTGCTCCTGTTGCCGCTGCTGCTGGTGCTGCTGGTGCTCCTGCTACTGTTGTCGCCAATTTCACGTGTCATACACTATTACGTGGAAGCGAGAACAATGGCCGATCATAAAATCGCCAATCTCGAGAAGCGCATCGTTCGCGCTGTCCCCGATAAAGGCCTTCCCGATAAGAGGCGCAACGTCGAAGGAAAAAAGGAACAATTCCATATGCTGCTAACGACAACCTACGGACTTAACAACTCCCATACGAAGAGGATCCACGTGGGATTGCAAACAACGCACGAGGACGTCTTCGCACCGTTAGTCAAATTAACCGGCCACTATGCGGAGGGAATCTACTTCGATTCAAATTCGTGGCAGCGATTCCAAGACAGCATGGATCTCATGAACGAATATCTGAGCGGGGATAATAAACCCAAGCCGAATCCCATCGACTTCGGTAACATCTCCAACAACTTTACCACCGCCTATGGAGCGCGATCCATACTGGTGGCGTACAAAGAAAATGACGATCACCCCGCGGAAAATACCGGCGAGGATCTTCGACAAGACGACGAGACGCAGGATCTAACTCCACCAGCAAAGAAACGAAAAACTTACGCCGTGGGAATAGTGATGCAGAAGACCACTTTTCTCGGCTTGCAAAATATCGCAAAGTGCGTCGACGCTCACTTAACACATTTGCAATCTCTAGCGAATAATGTCAACGAATGCGCGCGATATCTCGTCAAGGAGATTGAATTAAATCTCCCCAAGAGCTACGTAGATCGTGACATTATAAAACTAACGCTGAGAGGCAACTACGACGATATTGAACGTAGTGTGCGCACTCAAATTAACGATCTCACTTTTCTCGATATGTACTTTAACATAATATTTTTGGAATTAACTTCTCTACGCTTTCACGAAATCCTTCGTATAATTCTGTCAAATCGCCGATCGCAACTCTTATAAAATCATTGTATGTACAATTTCCACAACACATGTTCATTCGTACATAATTATCGTATTCTCGTAATAAAAGTCTCTGTAACCCCGACTCTCGTCTACTTCTTTCACCCTGCGACCTTCTCTCTCGTAACTTCAATATCATTACGCATAACAAAGAAACCTGTTCATTCCTGTTTTCCTCCGGTGAAATCCCCTCCCCCACCTCACGGCACCATCGGACCCACGTTAAACGAAACGCACGACATAGCATCGCTCCCAAAGAAACCTATCCATCCCTGTTTTTCCTCCGGTCAAACCCCCTCCCCCACCTCACGCCACCATCGGACCCCCGTTAAACGCACGACATAGCACCGTTCCCGTGTTTCCCTCTCCCCCGCTGGGAAAACTTCTCATTTCCACCCTACTAGCCACATCATTCCTTTGTCTGACCCACACGCCATCTTGTCGGCCCATTTTGACGCCCAGCCCCCTCCCTCCGCGTTTCCCTCTCCGCGCAAAGGAAAACTTCTCATCTCGAACCTACCAGCCACGCTCACACACCCGCGCCATTTTTTTTTGCCAGGCCCACGCGCCATCTTGTCGGGGCCCCCATTTTGTTACCCCACCCCCGAAAGTCACCAGCCAATAAAATCGCTGGGCAACTATGGGAGCAGCCAATCAAATCGTCAGGCAGCTATGGAGGGAACCAATCAAATCGCCGGGCAGCTATGGGAGCAGCCAATCAGAGCGCAGCTTCCCCCACCCCTCCCCCTCCTCCGCCCCCGGCCACGCCTCTGGCCCCAGTGACGTCACGTCTGTCTGTCGCCCCGGTATCAGCCCATATACTACTAACGTAAATTTCAATGCATCTGTTAAAAGAATATTAATCATTTCGTTTTCCCATTGTCAACATCTAAACGTCTTGAAATCTGCCATTCTCTGGCTGTATTGTATATACCAACAGAATGGCAGGTTTCAGGTCATTAAAATTTCAACAACGGGTAATCTAAACAATTATTATTATAAAATTGTGTGGTGCATACAAATGTATTCATACGATTGAGAATATGCCATTTATAAATAGGCATAATCAGAACTCCAAATATAAAAAAATCTAACATTGTCAATATTTTATGTCTCGTCCTGTCCCGTTCCTTCACATTAAGTTAATCACAAATCTTGTTTTAGAAAATTATGGAAATTTTTCCTTTCCGTTATACGTAAATTTCTATGCATCTCTGGGAATAATATTAATCATTTCAATTTCCCCTTGTCGAAAACAACTTGGAACCTGCTTTATACAAGATACAAGATAGTAGCAGAATGGCAGGTTTCAGGTCGTTTAAATTTCGACAACGGGTAATCTAAATAATAATTATTAAAAAATTATGTAATGCATACAAATGATACAATTGAGAATATGCCATTCACAAATAGATATCACAAGTCGAAATATCAAATATAATCTCACCTTGTCAAGAATTGCTGTCTCGCCCTGTCCCGTTCATTCACACTGCCAGTCAATCATAAATCATGTTTCAGAAAATTATGGAAACTGCTTCTTTCCGTTAAACGTAAATTTCAATGCGTCTGTTAAAAGAATATTAATCATTTCGTTTTCCCATTGTCAACATCTAAACGTCTTGAAATCTGTCATTCCCTGGCTGTATTGTACATACCAACAGAATGGCAGGTTTCAGGTCACTTAAATTTCAACAACGGGTAATCTAAACAATTATTATTAAAAAATTGTGATACATACAGATGTGTTCATATGATTGAGAATATGCCTTTTACAAATAGGCATGATCACAACTCGAAATATCAAATATAATCTCACCTTGTCAAGATTTGCCCGTCCTGTCCCGTTCATTCACATTGCCAGTCAATCATATATCATATTTTAGAACACTATTGAAACTGCTTCTTTTCGTTATACGTAAATTTCAATGCGTCTGTTAAAAGAATATTAATCATTTCGTTTTCCCATTGTCAACATCTAAACGTCTTGAAATCTGTCATTCTCTGGCTGTATTGTACATACCAACAGAATGGCAGGTTTCAGGTCATTTAAATTTCAACAACGGGTAATCTAAACAATTATTATTAAAAAATTGTGATACATACAGATGTGTTCGTATGATTGAGAATATTTACAAATAGGCATGATCTCAACTCGAAATATCAAATATAACCTCACCTTGTCAAAATTTGCCGTCTCGTCCTGTCCCGTTTATTCGCTTTGCCAGTCAATCATAAATCATGTTTTAGAAAATTATTTTAATTGCTTCTTTACGTTACACATAAATTTCAGTGCATCTATTAGAAGAATAATTATCTTTTCGATTTCCCGTTGTCCACGTTGACACACGCAAACGAGTACCGTCAGTGCGAGTCAGCAGTGCAGTGAGTGTATATAGTGCAGCATCTGCGGGGTTAGAATCTCCTTTGTGATTGACAGGTGAGATTATAAATAAGGTAAGCGTGAGTATTGTACGTTATTATTTTATACATATGATTGCAGTGTTCATTATGATAATCGTACTTTAATATGATTTTAACCTGTTTCAGTCAAGAGTGACGACCTCGATGGCAGGCGGAGGAGCAGGATTTTCCTGAGGATAGGGCTCTTTAAAAGGAAAGGTCTTTCTTTTATTTATTTGTGTGATTTTATGTTACTTTTAGTCTTAAGAATCCTGCTGAAAATACCCGATTCTAAACCGATAGATATCGCATTGATTTGTATAAAAATTAATCGGTTTCAATTCGATATCAATCGGGCCAATCGGGCACCGGATTGGTGGAAATGCAAGTTCAATCGGATTCAATCCGTAATCTGATTCACTCCGGTATTTCCAGAAAGAATTGAAGCAGTAACAATCGGTTTCTATCAGATTTTCTGACGAAGTCTGTCAATCGTTATTAATACAACTTTTCCGGATTGACTTGAATCCGCGCCAATCGGTTCCAATCGGCGAATTTAAATGTTTTTAATACAACTTTTTCGGATTGACTTGAATCCGCGCCAATCGCGGTTCCAATCGGCGAACTTATATCACGGGTTGAAACCGATAGACGCGGATCAAAATCTATCTGGAAATTCTTGATTGAACACGATTCATATCTGACCCTATCCGCGTCAATCGGTATTTTCCGCATCAAGAATCCAGATTCATGCGGATTCAAAATTTTCAATCGGTTTTAATCGGGTATTTTCAACAGGGAAGCTAACTAGTGTGTTCATTAATTGTTTTCTCTAATTACAGGGCCGGGGATGGTGCAAGGAGTTTCATAATAAGTTCTTTTCAGGTTCTCATTCTGTTGTATACATGCATAATTAATTTCCTTTTCTTTCAGGTAGATCATCTTATAATTATCTTGTATTAATTCTTTTTGTCTGTTTCAGGTGCTGTGAATCTTCCGGGAAAGGAGGCAGGACGACCGACGTCAGGAGCAACGCAGGAGGACCATCCGACCTCAACGCACAGAGGAACGCAGAGCAAGGAGGTATCGGGGCACGAGAATTCAGATGAGTATCCCACTATTTGGGCTAATAATTATATTCTCGTTATATTCTTTATTACAGTTATCAGCTTGTGGTTGCTTTTCTTTTTGTTTCAGGTTTAATTCAGGATCAATCTGAGTTGCGAAGACAGCTGTCGTCTCCTAGGAGCTTTTGCATAAAAAGAGGACTTTTCGTGCAAGAAAGTTAGCGCGCGTTATATTAGTGTTTTAAAGTGTTAGTTTAAAGTGCTGTGCAAGGTGTGTACGGGAGCGTTAGTTTTAAGTTGGAAATAAGTTTAGATGGTGTAAGACATGTATGAATGAAGGTGACATGTGGGGTTAGGTTGCCCATGTGTCAAGAGAGAATGTGTAATTAAATGTAATTTATGAATGAATGCATGCAATCTAATTGTGTGTGCACGCATAGAATGTAATTGGGTATTGGAATTGCTGTGTAAATGTATAAATGTAAAAATCTTAATGTATGAGGCATGAATGAGTGATAGCGCTACAAATGTTATTTTGTAAATTCGTTATTTATGAGTGAAAATTATGTGAAACGACAGTTATTATAAATATCAATTGTTAATTTATTCTGTATTCTAATGTATTTCTGTATATGATTGTAAATTTTGACATTTGTATCTCCATTATTGTGTTTATAATAAATTTATTTTGATTTAAAGTGTACATAATCTGAGTTTACAAGTGAATATCTTTAATAATGTCCCAAATACTTTTCCTTTCGTTAATGTTAAGTTCCACTGCCGATATTAAGAGTGATTAAATGTAGCATATTGTAAACTTAATGGAAATACGTATATAGGGTGGCGAATAAACGTATATTTAAATTTATTTTACATAGTCAGTAATATATCTTGCATATTACCATTTAATTTATTATAAATTGACATCACTGACAGTGTTAATTGAAGTTTGCGAGTTTTAATACATGTATTTAGCATAATGGTAGCGTTGTAGTAGTCTTTCCGGGTTTGACCTTGGAATGATACCGAAGGATCAACTTGACTCATAACATGACAACATACAAGATATTTTGTACCTTATGTCAAAGTACTGCGAAGTACTGCTTTGGAGCCTCATAATTCGAAAATTACTGAATGAAAGAATATTTTAATATAGTGTTTTGGAAAGCTCTCGAGATAACCTACAAGAATATGTAACGAGAAATAGTAGGTTCCATTTAAGAAATTGAAGGTAACCTTCATGTGACCTTCAAATTACTCTTCAAGGTCAAACCTATGGTACCATCTTATGTCCCCCTCGAAACCATACAACTTTTGTCTGAAACATTTTTTCATATCTCTTTTAGTTTTTTAAAAAATCGACTGTATAAATTAAAATGGCCCACCCTGTATAATATGTCAGTTGTAATATAAAATTGTTATTAGACGTATGTTAGTACATGCGTTAACGTGAAACTGATTCATGGTAAGTATGATTTAATGTTATCTGAGGTAAGTATCACGAGACACGGTAGTGTCTCGCGCCAAGTATAAGCGACTAAGTATAAGCGACAAGCTAAAACCACGCGCGCGACACCGACCGTGTAGTTTACGCGAGTACGCGAGTTGACGGGCCCTCGGAATTTCAGATCTCAACAACGGCTGATCCGACGAACTTGAGACTGCGCTTAATCGATAGCTTGGGTACGATTTGCATAATAAAAGTGTTTTTACTTTTCTCCTACGTGCCCCATGAGTGGAGATATTGCAATGCAAAGTCCGCATGTTGGGCAGATTACGTAGGTAGGATTAAGAACCGTCTTCGTCGTCTTGGTCGACAGGCCAGTGGAGGGGGAAATGTCCTTTTCACTTTTCTGTCGCAACGTGGCATTGGCGCTGCGCTGACGTGACTGACATTACCGATGTTACCGACGCGTAATATTACCGATGTTATTACCGACGACTTCCGAAAGCTCAGTTTACCGCCAAGTGCGCGTAAACATGGCAAAGCTGTCAGTGTAAA